TCAATCCCCAATAAAACAAAATATAAGTCAAATTGAACAAAACAAAAGAAAGAAAACAACACTATAACAGCCACTGTGGAAGTAAATATGGAGATTCCTTAAAACCCTGAAACTGGAACTGCCACGTGGTCCAGCTGCACCTGTCCTGGGTATAACCCTGAAGTTAGCACACAGAAGGTGCTGTTTGCCATGAGTGTGGCGTTGTCACTCTTCGTGACTTGCCAGGGAAGCAGCTTTGCTGCTCATCATTAGATGCGTGGGTCAGAAAACCAGGACTTACATTCAGTCACAAAGAAGGACAAAGTGATTTCCTTCGCAGGAAAGTGGATGGGACTGGAGAGCATCATGGTTGGTGAAATAAGCCTGACTTAGAAGAAGGAGGTCTGTTAGGGAAGGAGAGGGGACTGGCGGGGCGGGTAAGAGAGAGCAATGCGTGCTGGAGAGATGAGTGGTTAACACCACTTGTTGCTTTTGCAGAGGACCCTGCTTCAGTTCCCAGCACCCACATGGTGGTTCACAACTGCCTGTAACTCCAGTTCAAGGAACCCGACACCCACTTACCCTTAACAAGTACCACACATGTACTGCGCGTGCGCACGCACACACGCACACACACACACAAGCAAAACACTCATACACACAAAATAATTGAATATTTTTTTAAATTTAGAGAGCATAATATGGGGTGTTTCTATGAGAAAAGTACACATATTTATTAAAATCTGTCACAGGAAACTGGTTCTTTTGCACAACAGATGTCCCTTAATAAAATGAACTTAAATCGTAGCTATAACTTGTGCTAACTAGCTAGCTGTAAATTCTGAATTGATTAGAACATAAAATCATACTATGACATGAAACACTTAGATTTCCTAAAACAGTCAGCCTTCCAGAAATTATGATTCAGTCATCAAACGTTCTGATCTATAAATAGGATTACTAGTGTACCTCACTGGGAAGTTGCCATAGTGAATGAGCAAATACTCACAGAGCCCTTATGGCCGATGCATCATGAATACTGTGTGGTGGTTGCTTGTGTTGTTATCCCTTTGGAATGCACTAGGCTCTGTGGGGATTAGAGAGTTGACTGAGTGAAGCTCTGGGCATGCAAGGAGTTCCTAATCAAATGCGTTAAGGAAGTAAGGACACAGAGAAACCCTACGGTTGGGTTGTGGTTTGCCATGCAGGGTGTGCCTGGGAGTCCCCTGAGGTCTCCTCTCTCACAGCTTGGATTTTCTCCACTGGGTGGAGGCAGGGTTGGAGCATCTGTGTTCGATTAGAGGTGCTCAGGAGATTCTTAGGGCACACCCAAGGTGCAGGAGACTGCTTCCCACTATGGTGGATGCCATGTGGACGTGGGAGCCTAGGGTGGTGGCTGACTGACCCCGCCTGGGTCAATCAGCCTTCACAGAGGAAGTGACGTCCAAAGGCTGTAAGCAAAGTGGATCTACCCTTCATGGAGAAGGCCAGCATACAATAAACTAACCACACTGAGGTGCGACTCATAGCTCAGTGATAGAGCACTTGCCTAGCATGTATAAGGACTGGACTCAGTCTCCAGAAAATCTTAAAACAATTGAAGATTTTCCCAGAAACTGTCAGAGCAAGTCTGTGCCCATGGTATATAGATTCAAGAGGGGGTGACAGATGGGGGAAGATGCCAGCAGGTGACATAAAGGAACCAATAGGTATGATTCTGGTCAGGGGACACTTTGTTTTTCAGCCAGGATCCGAAAAAACAAAACAAAGCAACAACAACCAAAAACCAACCACCACCACCACCGAAAACCCTTTTCTGAAGCAAGAAAGTGCGTGTGTGTAAAGTCTTGCCCACAATCTCAAAAGGGTCACAGGCATTCCCCCTTACTTCTAGTCTACCCGTTGCCTTGTGTGGGCTGAGAGCCAGCAGTGTCTGCAACACAGAGAATGCGATCTGGTTCAGGGGGATGCAGGAGGTGCTCTGGGTTTGAATTTGAGGTGTTCCACATTCAGTACCCAAGAAGAACTGTCTCCCAGGCAGGCGGGAGTATGGCTGGGAGCAGAGGGAGAAAATATAGGCTGGGGAGGCTGACAGGCATGGGCTGCAGGCTAGTGGCAAAGCCATGGGGGTAACTGGGGCTCCCTGGGGGAGTCTAGGGTGAGGAAGGCAGAGAATGGTCAGGCTGCAGTGTGACAGATGATCCACCGGACTTCCCTTTATTGTCTCCAGAACACTTTGCTAGGGCAGCTAAAGCCTAGTCACTGACTGTTCACATGCTAGGGCAGTCATGGGTGCTATGGCGGATGGCCCAGGACAAGAGCAAGGACCCGGTGGGGGAGGGACAGAGGCTACAGTTGTGACTCCTCTAAGTAGAAGTCCACAGCTTTTTGGTTGAGGGGGTGGCTGCCCTGGTAGGTTGAGGGGGTGGCTGCCTTGGCAGGCTGGGGAGCAAACTCGTGTCCACTCTCCTCTGCCTGCAAAGACTGGAAATGCTCAGGGCCACTCCCCTTCCTTTGGATGGGCTTTCTGACAAATGCCTTGTTCCAGTCAGCCTAATGTAACACAGGAACACACCCAAATTGTCACAATGCACCCATCCCACACATATTTATATTAGTGGTAGCAAGCTCAGTCCCCTTGCACTTTTAAATGTATCTATATGAAAGGACCAGCTAAGGGAATCAATTCAAAACATACTTAGCAAGAGATCTAACAGGGGGTCTCCTTTTTAAGAATAAAATTATTCAAATTGGAGACTATCCTAGGAAACAATGGGCATATGGTCACCATATGTTGGGCAGGGAATTTTTCTGAAATACTAACTTATGTTTCTTCCTGGTGTTTCCTTCTGCTCTTACGTTCCCTTCCCAAACCTCAGAGAGGGCTTTATCTGCAAAGCAAGAATCTCTCTGTCCAGGCTTCATTCCTTTGCCTAGATCACAGATTAGAAGAGCAAAGATTGAGATGAGAAATACCAAAGACACCCCTCCCCCGCCTGTCTAATTAACACTCAGGTGCACTGGGAAGGAGAACAGGGGGAAACAGAGAACACAGATATTGACAGGGTTTAAAGCCCTGGGATCTGCACCCAGCTCTTCAGTCAGTGGCTGGGATGATTCTCCAAAAGGAACAAAACTACCAAAATGTTAGAGGCCAAGGCCGTAAAGGCTTTCTGCACCAGGACAGCTGCAAGAGGTAACACGCTCCAAAGGACCAGGACTTCAGTGGGTGTAGCACACTCTGTGTGTGTGTGTGTGTGTGTGTGTGTGCATGTGTGTGTACATGTGTGTATGTGTGCATGTGTGTGTATGTGTGTATATATTCATGTGTGTTTGAGTGTGTGTATGAATGTGTGTGTCCCATGATATCCTTCCTGTTGATTCCTGTGTGTGGTGGAACCTTAGAATTTTCCCTGGAAGGTAACAGAGGGAACCACCAACCTGAAGGGACCACAGGGTAGCTCCCAACAACTGAGAAAGCCCAGTGCCCCAGGCAGAGTACAGAGATGGAGGGCCCAGAGTCTGCTTCAGCAAACAGGTGTCCCTCCCTCCTGGTGTCCAGGCTAGCATACCCTGCAGTAGATGGGACCAGGAGAAGTGGGATTGGTTCCTGAATTCACTAAGATGCCGCCAGCCCAAAGAACTGGAGAATCAAAATAGAAATCTTATTTCTTAAAGAAAACGAAAGGGTTACATTTCTTGGCATGTTTGGCAACCAAGATACATACATTTTAAAAGGATATATATATATATAAAAGCTCTCTGTGTGTGTTTAAGTTTTTTGTTGTTGTTTTTTAAAATAACTAGACATTTGGGGAATAGAAGACATGTGGTCACTATGCTGTAAACCTTAGTCTTTAGGTGGCTTTGAAAAGAAGAGAAAGTTGTTCCTACTCCACACCTTAAAAAAAAGCTAGGAAAAAGAGGGTCTGTAATGCTAGCAGTCATTTCCCAATATTTAAAAAAATTCCCCTGAATCTAGTCATTCATTCATCTCGGGAAAATGTGGAAAAACTGAAAGAATAAGCAAGGAAAGAGAAATTACCAGAGCGGGGCTGGTGATGGAAAGTGTTGTGCAATTCCGTCCATTCCTCTGTTGGTGTAAGGCTCAGGGAGGTGGTGTGTTTCGGTGGCTGCTGCTAAGGGGAGCCAGGAAGGAAGAGATCAGAAGCAGAGAGACTGGCTCCCTTGACCTTTGTATATCCAGTGTCCTGATGCCTTGATGATGGGAACAGACACCTCATCCTGAAGGATGCTCTGGCAAGTCCTGGACACCTCTCCCTGCCCTGTCGACAGCTGTGTGGTGGAGCCATGGAGTTCCTGCCACTGGAGACATTGCTGTGTAAACTACTCTGGCCGAGGCAGAGGGCGCCACACAACACGCTCTCTTCCCCAGGGAAAACGGGCTCAGGTGTAGGGTGAGCTGGGCCTCCTGGGAGCACATGGTGGTGCTTTCAATAATGCTTCTCTCAGCTTGGTCTTCTCCAGGGACTTCCACTTTCTTTTTTGCTGTAGTTGTTTTGGTTTGGTTTTTATTTGTTGGTTTTTCAAGAGAGAATTTCTCTGTGTAACCTTGGCTGTCCTGGAACTCATTCAGTAGATCAGGCTGGCCTTGAACTCACAGAGATCCACCAGCCTCTGCCTCTCAAGTACTGTGCGCCACCACTGCCCAGCTCCTTCCACTCTCAAGCACACCCAGGGACATGTGCCTGCACACAGGCATATGTTTGCTCTCCTGGGTCTCCTGAGGATGCCTCAGGGCCTCCACAGGCTTTATTTTTAAACTTGCCTTGAAGAAGTTTCTCTGACTCTGGGATGCAGGGAACAGTGTCTTGAAAGTCCCTCACTGGAGCCAACCAATGGACAGCGTACAGAAGGTGACAGCCCATGTGTAGCTCTGGGCTTCTTATCAAATGGAAGTGTTCTTTTGAACCAACTGGCTTACTGCTTTTGATCTTGGGAGTGGGGGTCAAAACAGAAGCAATTCATGCAGTCTCCCTCTCTGGTTTCTCATCTTCTAGGTAAAGGAAGCAGAAGAGCTGATTGTAATGACAAGAACTGACCAAGCAGTGACAGTCTTCATAGCACCGGCCAGCACTTCCAGCATGCCAGACCCTTGATGTGGCCTGCCTTATACAATTCCCCAGCAGCCTGGCAGAGAGGGGCATGTTCCAAACAAGAACCAATACCTGCTTACCCAGGTTACATTGCTCTGAAAACACAGGCTAGAGCCTGACCCCCAAGCTCCAGTGTGAACTCACACACCTCCGGCTCTCTAGAGAGAAGGCAGAGAGATGGCGGCTCTTACAAAGCTGGGAAAAGGGCTAGATCAGCATACAGATGGCAGGAAGGGGAGAGGTGGGACCTGTTGTGGAGGTGTTGATGTTATCTCTGGGGAAAGGCTGACCATTCCACTGTTCAAATGATACTGTTCTTACATGTGGAAAATTCTGGTTTTGGAGGCCATGGCTGCACAAAGACAGCGGAAAAGTAGGGTTGGTGTGAAAGATTGGGAAGTCGGGGTTATATCAACTCCCTCCATATAAAGGAGGGTGCGCAATAGCCACTCTGTCCCAGCCTACTCCAACCTATACTCCTTAGTCCTTCAGCCAAACCGTATTTCCATCCTGTCCAAACTGCCGCACTCCATGCTGCCCCCACCAGCTCCCGGGGAAACAGTGGGGTGGGGCAGAGGCCTGGATGACAACTCCAAAGCAGCTGCCATGACTACCCTGTCTCCAGAAGCCAGTGGAAGGAGTGGCTCACGACAGTGCTGCTGGCCAGGAGGAAGCCGGGCGATCTCTCCAGCCTGCGGGCACTTGTTCAAAGGTTTGCTCCTAGACACCCTGGAGGGGCCTGAAGTGGACAAGGAGGGCTAAATTACTCAGGGTGGCAGAAGTGTGGACCGTCTGAGGATAAACAGCTGCACATTGGGGGGGGGGCTGTGAATGGGGCTGAAGCCCCCCATGGTCCCTTCCTATGTGTGGCACTCACCAGTTTGGTTACAGATCTCCTAGAAGATGCTCGGCAGGGGTAGGAATAATGCCCACCAATGAACAAAACAAAAAACAGCAGCTGACCAGAGGAAAACGGGCTGCTCCCTACCCCGGGCCTGCTTAGAGGGACGGTGACCCTCACCAGTCCCAGTCACGCTGCACCAATGTAACAAAATGACAGACCAGCATTTTCTTCCCAGAGACCTGGAGACTGAGAGCTGGAGACAAGTGTCTGCTTAGTTGGGTTCTGGTGAGAACTTGCTTCCTGGCTTGTCCAAAGGCCATATTCTAGCTAGGGCTCATGGGCAGCGGTGTACTTGGAGAAGTTCACTTTTCCTCCCCTAATAAGACCACCGACCAACCGCACAGTGTTAGGGCCCCACCCAGATAACCTCATTTAACCTCCATTACCTCCTAAATGCTGTGTCTCCAAATACAGTCACCTTGGGAGTTGGGATCAGATAAACTCGTGTAGAGGGACGCACATCAGTCCCCGGCAACCCTCTCTGACCTCAGCTTTGTCCCTCCACAGTAACTTCATTAACTCCATCACGAGGCAGGGTTTCACCTGCTCTCCCTTGTCCCAGCTGTCTGCCCCAGATGGCAATAATCTATCTGCTTGCTTTCAGAGTCCTCCACTATTTACCAGAGGCTGCTTGTTACCTTGCAGGGAGGCAAGAGGGGTACTGATATGTCATGTCATGCCAGTGAGCTGTGCATTACCTCAGAGTTCAGTGGCTTACCACACAGAGCCGAGTGGGGGCCATTCACAGGAAAATGGATACAACTGGAGATAATGATAATAATTAAGCAAATTAAGTTTCAGAAAGACAAATGTCCAGTTTCAGTTTTATCTCATTTGCACCTCCTAGATTTTATACCAATACATAAAACAATATCTATCTAGGAAGACTAAGGGCACGGGCAGGAGGTGGGGGGCAGGAAAGGGGAGGGAAGAGAGAAAGAAGTGACTTTTATTGTATTTCTGGATTTTGTGGGTTAAGAATCAGGGCAGGGCTTGGCTAGATGGCTCTACTGTGTATGGTTTTGCCTGAGTCATTTTAGTGTTTGGCAGTGGCAGGCTGGTGGATCAGGGGTGTGCAGGAGACTTCCCTCACAAGGCGAGCACCTGGCAGGGGTGGCTGGAGGGTCGGGCACAGAGATTGCTGCCTGGAATGCTTACTCTAGCATGACACAGAGATCCAGTGCTCTCACTGGGTGCGTGAAGAGACCTGAGAGGAAGTTTAAAATGTCCTTGAAAGTTCCAGAAGTTCACACCTGCTGTATTCCTTTGATCAGTAACCTAAGGAGACCAACCCAGACCTCCAAAGGAGGAGCACAGCCTGGTGGCCATCTTTAATTGACTACATATCCTGCGCCTGCCTGCTTTTTGTTACTATAATGAAATACACAATGCAGGCTATTTTTATAAGAAAGAGAAGTTTATTCCAGTTCACATTTCTGGTCCAAGGTAGAGAGACTCCATCTGGCAATGGCCATCTTGTTAGCAGAGTTGTGAGGTGACACTGAGTTTGATGTAACAAGAAAGAAGAGTGCTCATGTCTGTATCTGTGTGCCCCTGCTTGCAAAGACGCTAGGACTCAAACATGGGGCTCTGACTTAATGAGCCTATCCAACCCTGACCTCTCTCCAAAGACCCCCTCCTCCAAAGCATCACTGAACGAAGAAGCTGCCGTTCTCTCAACATTCAACAACGGAAATAAATAACTCTCAACACAGGAAGCCTGTGGGAACCATGGCCTCCTCCACAGAAGGAGGGAGCGAGCGCAACAGCAGAGGTGCCAAAAGCCCAAGAAGAAACAGCAAGAATTCTGAAAGCCTCTGCCCGGCTCATTGCCGAGAAAGTCCCTTTGGCTAAGGGACATCACAGAACAGGAGTCAAGGCAAAAGCTGCACTAGGGCTTCTGGGCAAAGAGACGAAGAATTGGAACCTTGCTTTGTTTCCTTCTGATGCCCAGGACCCGTGACGACTGTTACGGTGACAGCAAGTTCACCACCGAGTGTGTGTTCCAGGCTCAAAGGGGTCAGGGACATTGTGGCCTCCCTTTGATTTCTATCCCATTTGATTTGCTCTTCTTAGCTGTGACAGATTCTCCTCCCGTGGAGGGCTGTGATTTAATGCCCTTCCCTTTTAGTTGGTGAGGCTGGGGTTGCTCTACTCACTGGGGCTCAGCAGAAGGGATACAGGCTGACATCTAGATTTCAGATCATAAAAACAACCAGCGTCACCGACTTTCTCTGTCTGCATGCTTCGGCACCTAGCCACCACATTGTAAGAAAGGCCTTACCCTTTGAAGAGGGCCTGAGGCTTTCTCCCACACCCACAAACAGTTCCCACTTGAGCAGGCCACCCTGGAGGTTACATCTCCAGCCCCACTTACGCCCTCAGACACTGCGGTCCTGGTGACTTCCCTTCTCTCTACCTCCACCTCAGTATAGGCAGATGCTCTACCACTGAGCTACCTCCTACACCCAGAGACATTTTTCACTACAACCTCAAGACCAGAGGCAGAACTTCCTAGCCACACAATAGAAATAACCAATATAAATGATAACTGCCGTTTTCTATCACAGCAAGTGCCATGATTTGTTATGCTGCCTTAGCTACCTAACACAGACCTACTCATGAGGCCTAGGACAAGATGGGAGCAGATATGGCTTGGGACCTACAGAAACCCATAGTGTCTAGAGGACTGAATGGACACTAATGGAATCATTTGCTTGTTTGTGTGTGTGTGTGTGTGTGTGTGTGTGTGTGTGTGTGTGTGTGATCATGTGTGTTCCTGCCTATGGGGGCTGTATGGCACATAGTCATTGCAGTCAGAATATACTAGGTGTGCTAAGAGGAAGAGATATGTAGCCTTATTTCCCAACTCAAAATTATGGTCATTGACAAATAGTGCCCACTTAGCTTGGCACTGGAGCAAAGTGTTTGGAAGAAGAGATAACCAGAATGATCTGGAAGGTATGATCTGTCTGCCCTGAAATAGTTCCAAGGGAAGGGCTCACTGGAGTGGCAGCCTTAGTGAGGGGACACCGTTGCCCCGAGTGTGCCCATCCACTCTCCTGTCTAGGTTCCCCTGTCAATATCTTTCCTTCCCCTCTCTCCAGGGAGGATGTTACGGCAAAATGTGGGGTTACAGAATCAGGGAGAAAGGGGGGAGAAGAAGGAGAAGAGGTGTACAGTTGGAGTGGAGTGGGATTGGGGAGGGAAGGGGACATGATCAGATATGCTACATAGAGAAATTGCTGGGAAAGCAGATGCAGCCAGTCAGCCACATTGGAACTAGACTTGGGTGCTGGCCCTAAGCCTCAGCATTGCTTTGGTGCGGGTGCACGGGAGGGATGGGGTGTGGTGGCTGGCTCCAAGGTCAGCTTGTTGGGCCAGTGGCTATGGGAGAGAAAGACTGGGAGCCAAGGAACTGTTCCTTTGCTCCAGGACTCAAAGTCAGTTCGGTTATGACCTAGAGAATTTGGGCTACCCCAGGCCTAGCTGTGTCCACATGTAGAGCCCATAGGCTCAGACATGTCAAGGCCTTTTTGTTCAAGGCTCACTGCCCTCTCTGGTACAGCCCCTAGGGTGGCTCTGGGAAGGGAGGATTGGGCAGGATCTTGACCTTCTGTTTCCAAGTTAGGGGAGCTGGGGCTTCAGGAAGATGCAGGGGAATAGCCAAGCCTAACAGGACCTGGGGTGTAGAAGTAAAGCCAGGAAGGGAAAACTGTATGGGACAAGAGGAATGTGAAAAGTGGTGTCTATTCCCTGGAACGTCTCAAGGAATCGTGAGCTCCAAGCACAGGGGCTGCTGGCTCCTAAACATGTTTATTTTTTAGACTTCACACCATTCCTCACAGGGTGTAATTGCTCCCTGAATCATGCCAGAGGGAAGGAGGGTATGCTACAAGAAGAGAGACAAGGGGAAGGGTGTTGTTGATTCCCTAGCTTCCCCTCAAAACTAATCGGCTGCCTAATTAAGACGCGGCATTATTCTAACTGAAATCTAATTTTCCCCAGAGGCAGTGTAGGCACATTTCTATCCAAGGCTTCTGGAAACCTGGACCCCAAGTCCTGGTGTCTCCACTGCTTCAGCCTCTTTATTCTTGGGTGAGCGGCTGATTGAGGGTTAAGGGACCGTATGGAATCTGAAGGACAGACCTGTATTCAAATCCCCGCCCCCACTTTACCCACAGTACTTCAGTCAGGATGCTTAAACTACTTTACATTGACCCAGTTTGCTACTGAAGGGGCCAGGGTTGGGCTGCAAAGATGGCTCTGTGGTTACAGGCCCTTGCTGAGTTTGGTTGCCAGCACCCATATCAGGCATCTCAGTTCCAGGGGATCCATTCCCCTCCTCTGTCTTCCTTGGGCATTTACACACACACACACACACACACACACACACACACACACACACACACACACACACACACTAATAATAATAATAAAATAATAATAATGGTTGTTGTTATTATTATTGTAAAGAAATTCTAACAAACCAAACCAAAGGTGAGGTCCCTGATACAATGAAGGCTTCAGGAAACAAGGTAGAAAAGCCTGCATGGCCCTCCTCTCACAGCATCCTAGGAATGCCAATACCCTCCCCATCCCAGGATTAGATAGCTCTTCGTGCTGCTGTCCCTCCAACTGCCTCCTACTCCATCCCAGTATCTCTGGCCCGAGGCCTCCTGAGCTTTTCCAGCCTCTGTTCCTGCTGCTGTGGTCGCCTATGCCCTCTGCATATTTATCTCTACCTCCAGCTCAACCTGCGGGTGAGGGAGCTTGCCAGTGTTCCCCAGGAGCCAGCTAAGAGCTCAGGATCAGCCACGGGGACAGAGAGAGAGAGAGAGAGAGAGAGAGAGAGAGAGAGAGAGAGAGAGAGAGAGAGAGAGAGAGAGAGAGAGAGAGAGAGAGAATGCTAATGTACATCTCTCTGGTCTCTGCATATATTCTTCTGGGAAATAAAAGCAAAAACAAGTAGATTCTCCCAAGTTCTCCAGCATTCCAGGGCCCTGCCTCCCCAACCTTCTTCCTTGTCCCCATGCTTCAGGCTGAAAAGCTTCTCTGTTCCCATGTCCTCATTCTGTCCTTCACTTTCCAAGACCACCCACAGCCAGAGAGATTCAGGTATGGTAGACATCTCGGCCAATCACCAGCAGAGGGGGAAGGATTACACACATGCCCAGACCTCACCTGATCCAAGCGTTGCTCCTCTCCTTAAGTTCCATTGTACGCAACTCTTGGTTTGGAAGAGGATGACACAGTGTTTTCCTGGTAGAGGTCAGCCTACCCTGACAGCAAGCATGCTATGCGGTCAGCCAAGAACCCAGGCCCTTGGCTTCAGTCACAGCTGGAGAAAGGGCTCTGGTGCAGACTTAAACCATGCCCAAGATCACTGTCATGACACAGAGAAACTGGCATGCTGTGGGGACAAAGACTTCAGAAACTTCTCCTCTAAGGGCTCACACGTCCTCAGAAACAGTGTGATCAGGGCTGACTTTTTGTCCACCAAGGGGCACCCGTGCACTGCAGGGAAGGTTCGGGCAGGAGCTGCCAGCGTGGCTCTATCCAGGGTGAAGAGCAAAGGCTTGGGGAGGAGCTGCTTCAAGATGCCCTGGCAAGTGCCTTTCACATTCCAGAACACAGAGGACCGTGGGCCCCTGCTTGTCCAGAGGCATCTGGGACTGGCGGCCAGCCCAGGCGTTTCCTGTCCTTTCCATTCTAAATGTCTCTATTCTATTTCTGCATGTCTCCTTGGTGGACGGCTGTGCTGGGACTAGGAAAACTGGGGAACTTCATGTTTAACTCAATGC